TTGAAGATCTTATGAGCATTGCTCAATTATAGGTTTGGTAGCAATAGGTGTTTTTCAAGTTAACTGGTCTGTTTTCAAGCCTTTGCATGTAGAAATGTTAGATTGAATCTGAAGAAGCTGCAATACATGCACCTTGATGCTGGCGGCCTCTGCACTGGTGGCATCTCTCTAACAACCTTCAAGTTGTGATGAAAATAGTGTACCAGTGTCTCGTTTGGCTTCTAGGTGTGCTGGGTGGTGGAAACCCTTTGGAAAATAAGCTTGCCTACTATACTCATCATGTAGCAGAAAGTTGCACTCATTGTTTGGGGTATGCATGTATAAGCTCATGGGTATATACATCTTTTATGGATGCTAAAGAAGTGGTCTCAAGTGTGTTATAGAAGGTCTCACTTTGGTAGTTTGTCTAGCTATCTGTTCCACACATATATATACTGATTCTGGGAATTCCTTGTATCAGCCGATCACAAGATTATGCTTATTCTCCGATTTCTACATCAGTAACAACTGCTTTTGTCCTTTTCAAGATTAACTTTTAAATTGTGATATTTTCCTTTTTATTCTATTTTCAGAATTCAAGTTCAAATCACCACCCTGCAGCAGGATCAAGAAGCCATGGCGTGCCTCCACCCTTTACCTCCATGCCATTTAACGCTACAGGCCTTCCTGTTGATATCACTAGCATGTTCATGAATATGGCTCCAAATCTGTCCCCCGGACAGAATTTTCATAGTGGTCACGAAGGAACGAGCTCGACTGATGCACACGATGAGCCGGAAATCAGAATGGGTGGAAACATTAATGTTGATTTAGGTGAACACATGCCAGAGGAGTTTTCTGGAGCTCTGCGGTCTATGATGCAGATGTTCTCAGGTGCAGCACCTCACGGTAATCAAGAAGAGAATGTGAATGGAAGATCAGCACCAAGTTGAGATTTTATATCTGTACTGCAGACTTTTCTCCATCGATAACTGAATTTTTGCCCTGATTTTTGGAAATGAATGGTGGCCGTATATGTAATGCCTGATTCTCAAATACAAGCAGAACAGTGTATTGTTGTAGGAGTCCATAGCATTCTCTCTATAGCTGCTGTCTCAATGCATACAAGCCACTGCTGTTTTAATATGTCATCAATTTTTTAAGGTTCAAAGGTAATATCCGGATTGGTGATTATCCTGGCATTTGATTTCTAGTGTCATTACAGCTTTGTTATAATGGCAAGTATGGAAGAGAAATCCAAAATTCCGTTCCAAGTTGTAAATAATTTTAAAATCAGACATTTTCTTTTCTTGGGAAGGATATCCAAAATTCCGTTCAAAGTTGTGGACTAAAACCACAGTTAATTGAGAGTTGAATGAGGTGATTTGATGAAAAAGCATAATTTAAATGACTGACCTTCAAATGCTGTTCCATCATGTGCATGGTACGAAGAAAATGGTAAACTCCAACAAAAATGGTCTAATGCTAAATCAGTTGTTTTATTACAGTGCGATACTAATATTCTGATCTCATAATTATTGAGTTTGAAGTCACCAAACGAGATCTATCTGCAAACTTCTCTATCAGACGATGCTTCTTTTTTATTTATTTATTTATTTTTATTTCTTTCCGATATGCAATTGTTTAAGTGGCACACAAATGTTTGGTCCAATAATCCAGGTTTTGGATTTTAGGCATAAAGGATTCAGACCTATATCAATAAAAGTCACAAATTCTTTTTTTTTTTAGTAGTTTCGAAAAAAAAAAAACTCATTTTTTGAGTATTTCAATTTTGGACTTTTCCCTGCATATGAGGCTTCTCTAAAATGCTACGTGTGTTTGGATGAGAGATTATTTGGAATAATTTTATAATATTTTTTGTGATGTGATGTACGTGAGACGAAAATGTGGTTAGAAATATAAAAAGATGGTTGGACAATATATTTATGATGCACGCACAATTTTTTTAAAAATAAAATATTATTGAAACATGCCCTTAGTTGGGACTTAAAGTGCAAGATTATATACAAGTATAATTTGAAAACAACAGTATAACCTTTTCACCTAATTACAAGAGGGAAAGTTTAATATTTGACAAGATGTAATCGAGATTTGTAAATATGATTAAGCATAAATAGCATTCACTTTTCGAGTTCTAGTGATCATTCTGCTGAGTCCAAATAAATTCATGGTTGCTTCAACAATTGTTGGATGTTGGTGTAACTTGAGATGAAATTTGGAGGAATATATAGCATATACAACTAATTTCAATGCCTGAAATGGAGGTTTTATAATTTTTTTTCAAAACAGGGCAAGGGTGAGATTTAAAAAGCATGGAGGGGATAGGGAGATTAGAATTTAGAACCTGAGGCTCAACTTATATTATATTCTTATTTGCTCGAGGAGGTTGTAAAATGAAGACTTTAAAGAGTAATCTTCCAAAATACAGAGTAGGCAATTTCAAGAAAACTCAAAAATTTTCCAAAAAGCGAAAAAGGTCCAATTATTGAAGTCAATGCATAAAGAAAGCAAGATTTTGATGATGCTTTTCTATTGCATATCGAATACGAGAAAAACAAATTTGAGGTAAAAAATAATATAGTATTTCCTTAAGGGTTAAAAGCATAAAATTCCCTTTCACTTTACCCTTAAGTTCACTTTACCCTTCTCAACTCAATAAATAAGCACTTTGCCTCCCTGCTTTATGTTTTAGGTCAAAAGTGCCCCCTTTAATATTAATTATACTTTTATTCCTTTTTTCCTTTGTGGTCCTTTTATTACTTGCCCCTTTACTTTGTATTTTTTAAATTTTCTTTCTTCTCTCATATAATCAACTACTTTCTTCTTTTTGCTATTATTTTCTATAGATAAAATTTAACCTTCTTTAATTTATTCATTAATTATTTCAATTTTTTTTACCTTTTGTTATTGGAAGTAATAATGATCATAAATTCTATACTATCATAAAGTATATATTATCTATGCGCATAAATTATTTCATACATTAATGAATTAATACGTCTGGAGTTTCGAATAAAATAGTTTTTAATAACAACAATAACCAATTTAGATCGTAATAACATAATGTTTAATCAACTATACATAAAAAAGTAAATAAAAATATTAGTTACTTTCTTTTTTGGGATATACTTTTAATGTTAAGTAATTTAAAGTTCTACTTTACTAATATCATTTTAAATAGTCAAATTAATGCTAGTTGTATACACATTTTGATTATGATAGGCGTCTATAATTTTTTCTTGCTATACAATTTGTCTTGAATTTTCTAATTGTGTAAATAAATAAAAAAATAATGAAATTATAAGCAAAAGATAATTACAAATTTATAATAAGCATACAAATTAGTAATATTAATATGAAAGTGAAGCAAAATAGTGACATGAGAGAAGTGAAAAAATAGTAAAAAATAAAAAATAACAAAAGTAGTGGAAAAGAAAAAACAAAAGAATGAATGAACAAAAAAAGAAATAAAATAAAATAGTAAGGGTAGTTTTGTCTTAAAATATCAAATATGGGAACAAAGTGTTTATTTAATGAGTTCAAAGGGGTAAAACTCAATTAAGGGTAAAGTTGAGAGGGGTTTAGTGCATTTAACCCTTTCCTTAAAAGCTCCAAAGAAAAAAAATATTGATTCTATTCTTATAGGAATAATTTCAAAAACCTCCCCTAACGTTTTTAACAATTTCACTTAGCACCCTTAAACTTTTAAAATATCACTTACCTCCTCTATTTTTAACTTTTTGTAACATTATAAACCCATTTTAAAATATATTATTAAAAAACTTATTTTTGGATAGAGAATATATTTTCATTCCATTGTTGCCCTTTTCTTGTGTACCTTTTTGTTTTCATTGCAAATCTTGTTAATATCTAAAACTTTTAAAAACTTAGCCAATATGGTTTTTGTAGTTAAAATTTATAGGATGTTAATAATATTTAAAGACTTTTTTGAATAGTTTTTATGTCATCAGTCGACACAATAAATATAATATTTAGAAATTCACAAACACTTTTTAGCAAAAGAATAACTTCTTTCGATCTTTAAAAGCATCTTAAACAAGTTTGTAAACATAATTTTAAACGTGTCCTTTTTAGCATTCATAAAGTTTAACAATTTGAAAAATTTTCCATGTTGATTGCAAACATTTTGTACTAATTTAATAATATTTTTTGGCTTAAAAACACCTTTTTTTAGGGGGACTTGAAAACACCTTAAATACACTCTTATAAATAAATTATTTATACCCTAAAACTCCTACTGTTATATTATATCCCACAAAAATTGCACATTCACACAATTTGTCTATTGAGTTTAAGCTTTCTTAATATAATTTTAATTAAAAAAATGACAACGAATGGTACGTTTGGAGTGAAAACACCTTCTCTATCCAAAAATGAGTTTTTAATAATATATTTTGAATAATGTTACAAAAAGTCAAAAATAAGGGAGGCAAGAGATATTTTTTAAAACTTAGGATGCTAAGTGAAATTATTAGAAACCTCAACGGAGGTTTTTTAAATTATCCGATTCTTATATTTACACCCCAAATGCTGCTATAGTTTGAACTCTTTAAGAATCCCATTTCATTGTTAAAGATTAAATTAGATTTATTTCCATAATCTTTTAACATGTTTTGTCCCAACATTTCTATGACTGTCTAACTACACATCAAACTTGGTCCAAAAAGAAAACTTTAACTCTTCAAGTGTAATTTGCTTACCTAGATTAACAAATCACTGGATGAAGTTTAAAATTTGTTAGGATTTGATATAATTCATTGATTGACTTTTCAATAATCATTTTGCCCTCTAAACTCTGAATTTCAGAATGTATCTTGTACTTTGCTTGACTTGACATGTTGAATTAAGTCATTGTTGGACTTACATCATGAATTGTTTTCTTTATCTAGAAAAGGGTTAATCACAATTAATCCCCTTAAAGTATACCTCATTGTTCGCTTTACCCCTTAATGAACAAACAAAATATTAGAAGAAATACGCTAGCAGCTACAGACTGGAACCTTCTGAAACTCCAAAGTCCCTCGCTCAAAGCCCCTGCGGCCAGCGGTGCCTTGATCTCTCCGCCAAACCAAAACGGCCTTTTTTACCGGTCCCTGATTAAGCCATTGTGGTCCCTCTTTTAGCCTTCTCTGACGTCTTTCAATTGTCATTGCTCTCAACCCATTTTTCTACACCTCCTTCTAGTGCAGAATAGCATCATCTGAGTTGATTGCTCATTGTTTAACAAGGCATGACACTGCAGTCTTGATTGGCGTTTGATTATACATTTTTATGACTTTCTTGAACTGGGTTCTTGTTGGTATTTTAAATTTAAAATTTTTTTGAAGTAGTTTCAGTTTTCTCCTTGATTTTGGCATGTAAAGTTTTGAGTGTCTGCCATTTTTTGTTACTTGTTCCACTACAGATATTATGCATGTGCCAATTTTATCAAGTGCGTTTTCGTTTATTTTGTTACTTGTTGGATTATGCTGATATTTAGAATTGAAGTTTTCTTTCTTTTTTGGTGCAAAAATTGATTCTTTGTGAGTCTTGTAGTAAGTTTAGATGAGAGTTTATGTACTAGCATCTAGAGAAACAGTTTGAGGTTTTATTTTGTGTGTGTGCTCTGCGTGTGTGTGACAGTGTCTGTGGTTGTATGGGACCATGGTCGATAAGAATGTTCTTTGTGGGCATTAATGTTGTTCTATTTTTGTCAGCTTTGTGTTGCAATTGTGTTTGTACCGTGTAGTTTCCTGCATCCAGTTGATGTCTGGCTCTTCCCCCTTGGCACCCAATCTTTCTTGGTTGTCTCTATTCCAGTATTGGATATCCAGCAATTATTGAACTCTGTGTGTGTGTGTGTGTGTTTAATTTGATTCAATCAGAGAATTAAAGCTTAGGGAAACTTGTATTTTTAATAACAAGGAACCATTGGAAACTATTTTACTTTAACTGTCTGATAAAAGAGCTAATTTTGTGATGATTATAACTACTTTCATAATTGAGCCAGTATTCAGTGATGTTGCCAAACTGTTGGTTTCTGTGAATTACTTTTCTATCCAAGCTTTTGAATTGCATAAGGCTGATAAATGTACCATGATGTATAACATTGCAATTGGTAAGTGGATGATGTTAAATTTGTCTTAGCCATATATTGGTTGCTTCTTGTAGGGGTTTTTGAAACCTGAGAGATGAGTGCTTATATTGTTGGAGTCCTAGTTCCTCTTGTGGTTACTTTTCTATTAAGGAGTTCAAAGAGCGAGAAAAAACGAGGTGTGCCAGTTGATGTCGGTGGGGAACCTGGTTACGCAATTCGAAACAGTCGGTTTCCATCTCCTGTGGAAACAGCCTGGGAAGGGATCACCACTCTTGCGGAGCTTTTTGAGCAAGCATGCAAGCAGCATTTTGACAAGAGACTACTAGGTACTAGGAAGTTAATTTCCAGAGAGATTGAGACATCCGAAGATGGAAGGTCCTTTGAGAAGCTTCATTTGGGTGATTATGAGTGGTTAACTTATGGCCAAGCTTTTGAAGCTGTATGCAATTTTGCCTCTGGTTTAGCACAACTTGGTCATGGAAAGGGAGAACGTGTAGCCATCTTTGCTGATACACGGGCGGAGTGGTTCATTGCACTGCAGGTTTGAGCTTGTCTTGCTGGATCTAAAATCAATACCAACAATGCTACACTAGATTGCATGATGTTCTGAAAGACATCTTATTATACTATTCAGACCACTGACTACCAAATTGTTTATCCAAAATCACTAGTTTTAGGCATCTAACTTCCACTGATTGTACAATCTGTCATACACTTTTCTGATTCTCTCTTTTCTTCAAAAGGATGTAGTATTGCATTTCAACTGTCCAATGTTTTGCTACTTATAATTCGGATGTTCTTGAATCAGGGTTGCTTCAGGCGGAATGTGACTGTTGTGACCATTTATGCATCTCTGGGGGAAGAAGCTCTCTGTCATTCACTAAATGAGGTCTGACTCTGTCTCTCTTCCACTCCGTCATATATTTACCTTTGAAGACCTGCTCAAACTGCCTACCATCTTCCAAGACATGCTTAAACCCTCAGTCACAGTTACATACGTTATACACTTACATGCTCACATGAATATGAACGTCTATTGTCCACAGTAAATGCATTGGTTGTTTGTCTAATATACTGGGAGTGTTTGGTTGGATGTATGATTATTTGAAATAATATTTGTGTTTGCATAACAAACACATTCTCCAATAATCTTTTTATCTCACATATATCACATCACAAAAAGTGCTACACTAATTATTCCAAATAATATTTTAAACAGGAAACTATCCAAACATTCTCATCACTACTATAATCAATGTAAAGCTATTAAGGAACATGAACAGTGCCCAGTCCTAAATTAGATTCCTCATCTAATAGTGGTTTTTGTCCTCCAAAGTCATTAAAACAGAAGGGAGGTGGGTAAATGGAGAATACTTAGGTAACTAGCGAAAGGAAATAGTGTTACAAGTCTCCTTAAATAACTTGGCTGTATTGCTGCATGAGTGACCTTGAACACTACTCATGAACTGTAGCTCAATGTAGAGTGATCAACTTTTCCTGAACTCTATCTGCATGCAGTTTGTCGCTTTACCTGTCTCTAAGCATGTGGCTGCAACTGCATTTTATTTTCCCAGAAGTTTGTCGAAAGTCAGCTCATTTGTAAGGTCAAGATTTTGTTAGGGTATTATTGACTTTCTTAAAAGAGTACTTTTCTAGCTTGTGTCTTTTGGGCTTGAAAGATTTTTTAGGGTACTATATACCTTGCATTAGTCCTGGTGTGAACAACGAAAGTTTTTTTTTTAGTGTCTTCAGTTAGTGTTTAGGCTCACATTTATTCTATGACTGGTTTGCTGGTGGTTAATTATCTTTACTCGGAAAGCTTCCCATATGCACTGAAATCAGATTTTATCTACTGCCTTGTGGTAATAAGAAGACTTTGTTGCCTATCTTGTAATACACTTCAGACTCTCAAATTTCAAATTCAATATTCTGTTCCACGAGTTGGTTACAAGATGGTTGTTAAATTTGAACATATTTGTGAACAGTGAAGTTCAATGTTGTCATAGAATAGTATGCTTTAAAGGTTTATGCACCAGTTTCCTTTGCTTATCATTGTGAAAGTCATATCCTCTCACTCAAATTTCTATCCATTGGTCAGACTGAGGTTACAACTGTTGTTTGTGGGCACAAAGAACTGAAGAAACTTATAGATATAAGCGGGCAACTTGACACAGTAAAACGTATAATCAGCATGGATGATGAGCTTCCATCGAATTCAGCATCAGTTTCTGCTAGTGTTAGCTGGACGCTTATATCCTTTTCTGATCTACTAAGGCTTGGTCAAGGACATCCTGTTGATCCAGAATTACCTCTTGCAGCTGACATTGCAGTCATAATGTATACCAGCGGAAGTACTGGATTGCCTAAGGTGCATTTAAGACTTGTCTGCACTAATTACCTATATATAGGAACATCTGCTTAATTAGGTAAATGAATGCAAGTGTGATTATCTGGTTTTGTACGTGAGAAATTTCTTAATGTCTGCATGTGATATGATATGTATTTGGTACTTAGAATTGATTTTCATCACTCTTTATGAATTCATTGAATAGTTCACCTCCATTGAAAAGCTAAGAGTGTGCATATTATCACTGGAATATTGATTTGAGCTCTTTGAATTTTTACCTGGTAGAGGAGTGCTTGCCAATCTGAATCTTTCTTTTGATCCTGATTTGAAGATGTTCCTGTTTTCTGGCTTAGATGTGACACAGAAAAAGATGAATAGTGAAATTTGCTTATGATTGATTTGTAACAAGAAAAGTTTGTTCTGAAGATTTGCGTAATTAGTTATCTTGTCATTGTTTGTTGAGCTTGTCTGCAAGGTTGTACAAATTGTTGAAACATTTTGAAAGTAACTTCCTATTATGCAGGGTGTAATGATGACACATGGCAATGTTTTAGCTACAGGCTCTGCTGTTATGACTATCGTTCCTGGCCTTGGAACAAAGGACATTTACATGGCATACCTACCCCTAGCCCATATTCTTGAACTAGCTGCTGAGGTAAAGATTCTTATCTTCCTTGAATCAGGGATAATTAGTAAGTGATTAGTTTGGTTGCTTTAATTATTACTTTGAGTTAGTGACAACATAGTTGAGGTAATTACTATGAGAAAAAATTCTCTATGCTACAGAATATTATGGCAGCTGTTGGAATTTCTATAGGGTATGGCTCTCCCTTGACTCTTACTGATACTTCAAATAAGATAAAGAAGGGAACAAAAGGGGATGCATCTGTTTTAAAGCCTACACTGATGGCTTGTGTCCCAGCAATTCTTGATCGTGTTCGAGATGGTGTTCGCAAGAAGGTCTGTAATTCTTAGCTAATACAAGTAAAATGCTTTACCATGCTTTAATTTTTGTTTTGCAAGTTGGTCGTTTAGTTGCTGAGCTTTGCCAAATCTTCAGGTAGATGCTACAGGTGGACTAGCAAAGAAACTGTTTGATTTGGCATATGCTCGTCGACTGTCTGCAGTAAATGGAAGTTGGTGGGGAGCTTGGGGTCTGGAGAGGCTTCTTTGGAACTTTCTGGTGTTCAGAAAAATAAGAGCAATTTTGGGTGGCCGTATCCGTTTTGTACTATCTGGAGGTGCTCCGCTTTCGGGTGATACTCAAAGATTCATCAACATATGTCTGGGGTTAGTTTGGTTCAAAACCTTCAACTCATATATAGATAAGAAAGAATGATTTGCCTGAGATCTATGCATTCTTCCTATGGTTATGTCAACATGCACTTTTGATCTCCTATGTAATGAACCATATTTAAACCTTAAGTGGACAAATGCATGTAATCTTGATAACTGTGCTTGATTAGTTTATTAGCATGCTGTTGATGTCAACATAATAATGACATACATAGAAGTTGAAGTTCCATTCTCAATGTTTCCGCATCTTAATGCTCATTCTCGTTGTACAAGTGGATCTCTTTCTTTGTGTGTCTGTGTATGTTTGTGCCTTGAACCCACATGCGTATGACAAATTAGTTTCCAGAAAGAGGAGACTAGAGTAGTTTCCATGCTTTCTATCCTTTAAAGGGATGATCTTGACGAACTTCTTATGCTAAGCCAAATTGACTAATTGTCTTTTATTAACTGGTCATTATCTAAATATATCCTCTCCATTGGTCAACATCGGCCATATACTTCTATACATCTAAATGCATTTTACTTGTAAATCCATTTTTTCCCTAAAATGTAATACTTCAAATGAATACATAATGATTTGTTTCTTTTGGATCAAGTAATAAATTCAGTTTGTTACCATGATGGCATTCCAAAGATTTGTATCTATGTTTCCTTTAGTTGTGTTTGAGAATCATTATGCTGATCCTTATCATATGACATTATTTGTACAGATGTTAACCTTCCTCCTTCCTTTTCTTTTGTGCATGAGTTTTGCATATTATATTTCTGACAATTGTATTTTTCAGTGTTCCAATAGGCCAGGGCTATGGTCTGACTGAGACCTGTGCCGGCGGGACATTCAGTGAGGAGGATGATACATCTGTTGGTCGTGTGGGTGCCCCACTGCCTTGTTCATATGTTAAGGTAAAGTACAAAGTATTTCACTTCATATTTTCAAAAGTATTAGCTTGCCAATTATATAGCCTACTTTTCCTGGTGAATCTAACAAAAAAGAAAAAAATATTCTATAGTAGTTATATATATTTGCAGTGTGTGAGACGTTCAGTTTCCAGCTATCTGTATTGTTTTTGAATTGTGTCTTATGATGTAAGCTACCAAAGCCTATAGGACTTATGACTTCTGTATAGGTGCTTGTACATTTTTGAAGGGGTTAGACTAACATCTTATTTCCTAGGCTGCATTGTGTAAATCTAATAATGTTGTGTTTCTCCATATAAAATGCTGCCAAATAAATGGTTGTTCTTAGTATTTACCTATTTTCCTTGGGAACTTATTTTTGAAGTTGCTTGTTTTAATCTAACTTCCTCGTGTAAATGCTTTCTGTCACGTTTCTACTTTTGAACTATAGTTGATAGACTGGCCCGAGGGTGGATATCTAACGAGTGATTCTCCAAAGCCTCGAGGCGAAATCGTTATTGGTGGGCCAAATGTTACTGTTGGATATTTCAAAAGTGAAGAGAAAACCAGGGAAGTATACAAGGTAATTGCAAAATTTTGCACTATTTTTTTAATTAAAATTTAAACAATTCAACTAAATTTTCATTGCTTACAGGTTGATGAGAAAGGCATGAGGTGGTTCTACACAGGTGACATTGGGCAATTTCATGCTGATGGTTGCCTTGAGATAATTGATCGAAAAAAGGATATAGTCAAACTTCAGCATGGAGAGTATGTTTCCCTAGGAAAGGTAACAATGTTGATGCTCGCCTATGCATGTTATTGTATAGTTTGAATTTGGCTCAGTTATTGGTGCTTTGCTCTACAGGTTGAGGCTGCTCTTATCATTAGCCCGTATGTCGATAATATTATGCTACATGCTGATCCTTTCCATAGCTACTGTGTTGCTTTAGTGGTTGCTTCACAAGCTGCCATTGAAGAATGGGCATCCAAGAAAGGGATTGAGTACACCAACTTTTCAGACCTATGCCAAAAAGAAGAAACTATAAAGGAAGTGCATGGTTCATTAGTAAAGGTACTTCTTTTTCTGCTTCTTGAGCTTTGAGTGCAACATGGATATAAATAAGTTCCCATCTTGGCACAGACCTTTATTTGTTTTCCATTTTTGAGGTCAACATCTTGCCAATATCTGTGAAGTATTAATTGATTAGGATGCTTTTTTAAGCATAGTATCAATGTTTGAGGTTTAAAAGTCAAACTATCCTAATGATTAAGTGTTAGATAACATGGTTTACATTGTCATCCAAACCTTAACGAGAAATGGAAAATGCACCAGATGAGAAACTGTTGAGCCTGCTGCAAAGAGATCAGGATCTCTTTTGCCTGCTTATTTGTTTAGTATTCAACATAGTTTCCTGAAAAATTGACTCTTAACTGTTGTCTGGTCCAATACAGGCAGCAAAGGCTGCACGCCTCGAGAAGTTCGAGATCCCTGCAAAAATTATACTCCTTTCAGAACCATGGACTCCTGAATCTGGCCTTGTGACAGCAGCTTTAAAGATTAAGAGAGAATCCATCAGAAAGGCATTCTCTGAGGATCTGGCCAAACTGTATTCTTCATGATTTAGCAGATCTTGATATCTTGATACAGCAATGTAAAATTTTGTTTATCATTTTGCTTAATGTTGATGCAGTACAGATTAAAGATTCATGCTTCTGTATTATTTTTTAACCTTTAAAATAACTTTTTCTTGTGCACTAAATTCCTAAATGTAGCAAGTTGGATAACATTTCCAGTTTGGATGTTCAATAGTTTGCCTTTTCTGTTGTCCTCAACGTTAAAGAAAAGTTGCTGCTTGCTGGCATCAAGATCGAACTACATGTGAAGGTTGAATTATTATTCTTGAATGATACAGAGCACTCAGTCTAGCTGCCCTAGCATGATCCAACATTGCTTTGTTGGCTAACAAAGATAAAACAAATAAACTATAATGTTTCCTTCTTTTTAAAATTTTTGGCAACCTTACCTTGATATGCAAAGATATGATAGCTTCATACAAATCAATACCAAGTTTTTACTACCAAAAAAAAAAAAAAAATCACAAGTGCTCAGGTTAGATTCAAGTACTTTTAATTTGGATGCTCAAGTCAGATACAAGTAGTTTTAATCTTAGGATAAGAACAAATAGTTTGATAGTTTAGGGCATTCAATATCGAGATGTTTGTTGAGAAACAAGGATATTTATAGACATCATGCTCTCTAATTTACCATGCAAAGGATGCATACTTTGTGGGTGAAGTCGGTTGGTTAATTGATTAATTGGTTAAACAAAATGAGTCAATATTGATTTTTACACCACTAAAATTTTGACTGGAAATCAAAATCGAATTCAACTTTAGTAAATTGAAAATTATTTGAATTAAAACCGGAAATCTATTGTGATAATTGATAACAAGCACCAAAAAAAAAAAAAAAGAAATTGGATTTATGGTGTGTGATTTATTGAATTACTTTACAAACTAAATATCCGTAACTTGTAATGAGGTCCTATATATGTATCTATACGAATTGTGTATCGTGCAAATTAAACATACAAACATATTACGTAACAAGTAATTAAGTAATTTTACATGTATTACTTTGAATTATATAATGTTTTGTTTTCCATGGTTAGAAAGTTATTAATTTTATTATTTATAATTGAAGAGATAGTCAATGGGTATGTGTATATGTGTATTACATAATAAGTTTTAAACTGTAACATAAGGCATATAAATCCCAACAGATAAGAAATTAAGAATAAATTACAAAAATATTATATGCAAAAAAGCGAAAGTGATTTTTTTTGTTAAAATCGAAATTGAACATCTAATACCAAAATCGAATTCAACTAGAATTTATTGGAATTGATTAACCTAATTTAGTTTATTTTTTGCTCATCCCTTCCCTTCTTGGCCATTTATGATAAAACTTTGCCATATATCAATTCTCAAAAATTTTATTTCTGCTCAAAGTAACTAATATTGGCATGTCTAGTAATTAATCCAGAACTAATAGAAAAGTTCTATGTGGGTATATAAAGATCTTTTTTGCTAATTTACATGCTAAATAAGGTCTAGTCGGTGTATTAAATGGAACCAAGTGAGACCCTTATATGTTTACGCAGAACTCTTTCATTGATTCGAGAGCAACTGTTAAACCTACAGAGTAGTTGTTTCGAAACAACATAAAACTTTTCATGAGATTCCTATTGGTCCGATCAATTTGCGCAGGAAATATAACAGCCAAACCCGTCAGATTATGCAACATATCTCCTCAGAGATGCATACCAGAATTATGTCATCCTAATGCCACCACCATATATGCCTACATTATCTTTTTTCAGGACAAGAAGTATTGAAGAATTCGTGTTGCTTTCTGTACAGAATCCATGGTGATAGAACTAGTTTAAAACGACATCACTACCTATGTCATCACATTTCAAATACTCAATAGGATTAGAAAAAAAAATTAAAAATGTATTGAGTTATATTTATTTATCTATTTGGTGTCTTGAGTCTTAATACGTGATGCTACACGCTTATGGCTAGTTATATCAGTGAAAAGTCAAAAGCTTAAAACAAACGAAAGAGGGGAAAGAGAGGGAAGGAAAAAAAGGCATGGGAGAGGCCACAAATTTTGTCTGAAATTGCTCGTAAACCAATACATCAATATATAATTTAAGGCACAAGTCAAGAAGTAGTTTAACTGAATTGAACTCATGACAACTACCATGATGTTTCCCCTTTTTTTTTTTTCCATTTCTGACACCTACCATGATGTCTTTTTTTTTTTTTTTTCTATTATCCTGTCTTAAATTTTAGGATAAACCATTTATGGAGTTCCTAAACTATTCTAATCATTAATTTTTTTGCCCTTCATTTATTTTGATTCTTAGATTAGCCCCTGAACACTAGCAAGTGTCAAATATGATCCTTTAGTCTATTTCCACAGTCAAACTGATGGATTTGAAGGCAAAATTTGATGAATCTAACAGTTGAAATGGACGGAACTCAAAATTTGACACTTTGTATTAAGGGACTATTTAAAATTTGAAATCAATGAGAGGCCAAAAGTGTTTGATTGCATTAGTTTAAGGACTTTCTAAATAGTAGTGTAAATTGATCTGCGTTGCACAAGTCAGCACGAGACGCTTGATTACTTAGAATAGACCTCTATCCAATTTTTACAGTTATATTTGTAGAACTGCATTTTTAAACATTAGAGGTAACTTGCATTTGTTAAGTTGGATTATATTGTTGAAATATGACACCCTTTGATGGCCAAGATAGTTGAAGGAGTAAAAACCACAAATTTTACTTTAAATTATGCTGATTATGACATAATGGATATTAAGAGAATTTTATGCAAAAAAATTAATTTTAAATTTGAAATTATATTATGTGACATGCATTTAAACCCGCTCGTGTATACATTGACAATGCATAAAACAAAAAATTAACCAACTTGTAATATCATTTAAATATGGAATTAAGAAATTTAGGGCAGAGAAGGGGTAGGAACCATTGCAGGAAGCAACCGTTCCTGAAGGTTCATGGCCAAGATTTGATCCAAAAAAAATGTAAGGTCCAAATTGCATCTTGTATATCATTTTTCACACCATGTGTAGGGCCTACAAAATTTTGTTCTATAATTACATGTTATTAAAAGTGAGTTATACCATGTGCATACAAAATTATATTTTATGCATTTTGCACAAAATGGGTCCAATGGCAAACCCGTTCTGGCCCCTTGTCCGTTGAGGGCTAGGACTAAAGAGTTGTCTTCATATGTGTTTAATTCTTAGAGAAGCTTTTGCTTTTCAAAGTACATCTCAAAAGCTATTCCATTTATCTACCACTTCTTTTTAAGACCACCTTTCCTTGTGTACACTTTAGAAAAGTAAAAGCAACTAGTTGTGGTGGAATTAAAAAAAAAAATAAAAACTCAAAAATATTTTAAAAAATAATTTTGGTGGAGTCGAGTTTGAGGAAAAGATCTGAAAGTGGGACACTGCAATAAAATCTTGAAGAGTCTGGTAGATAGCAAAAGTCCTTGGCAGTTTGTGATTTGGTATATTAATTATGGTGAAAGTATGATATGATATGATAAAGCAGTTCAAACTTGTAGAGCATTAGTATAGACTAAGGAATGCATCGCAGAATATGACAACAAAAATATATAAAAAAGAAAAGTGAATATTACCAAAGAAAAAAGGAGTAGGAGTAGGTTAAATAGTTACCATCGTAGATAAAAAAAAAAAAAAAAAGAGAGAGAGATAAGCTCAATAAATATAAGATTCATTAGTTTTCTTTCATCTTTTCATAATAAAAATGATTAAAAATTGTAATAGGAATGGAAGGAAACTAGCGAAATAAAGCTAAAGTGAGGGTGAATTTATCACTTCACGTCCTACAGAGTGGATTTTTTTTTTTTTTTTTAAACTTAACATGATAATTGACTTGATTTTTCAATTCATTTTAGTATGAAGCATTTTGTTATAATGTCTAATAAACTATGCCAGAAGATTTCTTGCATAAATATATTTCCAATATAAAATGGGATAAGAATGACCACAAGACCATGTAAGTTGACCATTCTAGATGGAGACCATCAACCCTTGGCATTCAACATGGACGTATTCCGCTATTCCTTCATGCTTTGCAATTGTTTTACTAAAAAAAGTACTCCTAGACAAGATGAATACTTTGACATTTAGGAGTTGGATATAGGGTATTATAATGTACTTATACTAACTAACAATTTGTTTCTTTTAGCAAAACTCAAAATAGATTTTCACATTTTATCATAAATTCAAAATCAAAATAAGATGGAAGTAATTTTTGAAAAATTAAAACCCACCATTATTAATGAAAAAAAAAAAGGACATTTCTTCAAGTTTGCTTCCTAGTAAACCTAAATGTGCACATTCTTGGAAAGCCACCATAATCATTAAACGGTCAAGCCAGGACGATGATTTAATTATAGCCCTGGTAAACCACATGCATGACTTGGATTCCTCAATGCAAAGGTACTAATGTGTAGAAACTATGTAGACCAACCCTAGTCATATTAGAATCTCTCCTTGTTTACTTTTATAACTCAGGGAGCACACAATGGTGGAAAAAGGGACAAAAACATGCCCCCCCCCCCCCCCCCCAAAAAAAAAATGAAGAAGTAGAAGAAGATAGGAAAAGGTTAGCTCTAGAACATGGAGTCTAGATGAATAGCATAGGTCTATTGATCCATACACAATGTTGAGAACCACTAGAAATCAAGGGTCAGCTAATCAATGAGTGGAAATGGTCCAATGCCTCAATTAGCCAAAAATGCCTCCTGCATCAATTCTCTCTCTCTCTCCTTGTTTTTTTTCTTTTGGTTGGTTAGAAATGGCTGTTCAACCTCAATAATTTAGAGTTGTAAGCTACACATATAACTGAGTGTGCTTGTGGACCATGTTGCAAACAAACAAATCTTTCTGATATGAAAAGAAATTGCATTACACATATACACACACTCAACCACACACAAAATACAAGGATCAAGAGGCTAAAACAATCTCTCAAGATAATAGTTCTAAAGATAAAGTAGCACATTAAGATAGCAAGTAGCACATTTTTACACATTATCCTTCCAAAACATACCATATTGGTAAGATTTGTGGCACATGTGGTTTGGTAGATACTTAACCAGCTAATCACTATTTACAAAGATATTAGTGCGATGGCTAAATGTAAACCATCATTTAATTACCCAAACTAATTATTTAT